CGCGATTTTTATGAATAGGTGTGTTCGGTTGTCAGAGGTCGGGTCGTACCTTCCCACACCCATGGAAACGAGGTGGGAAGGCATGGTTAACAAGCCGGAACGTTCTTTTATTGGCAGAATCCGGTTTTATTTGGCAGCATCGCCTTGCTTACCTGTCTGTCCTGCTTAGTGTGCACAGCTAAGGTACCTCTATACAGATATGTTAAGAGGTGGATCCACTGTGTATTGAAATGAGGGTGCTGGTTTAATACATAATGTTCAGAGAAATTCTGGGGGGGGGGGTCTGAGCCAGGAGCGCAGTAAGGGGCATGGATATCCTGGCAGATTCAGTAGGCAGAGCACTTTACAGGGGCCCTTGAGTGTGTAAAATTGTATGTACAGTTCAATGGGGGGGGGGGCCCAAGGTGACACTGTGTCAGGGGGCGCAGAATTTCTAGCTGCGCTAGATCTGACCTTTCTAGCCCTGATGATGATGATGGTGATGATAATGAACAAGATGACATGGGATTGGCTGCAGTGTTGGAGGAAACTGACCCAACAATGAGCGTGTGCTGATGGACGCTGGTTATTCAGGGGCTGATCTCTCCGGCTGCCCCCAGATTGCCCTCTGCTTGCCTCTTACTGGTGGTTGGACAGCGGTCCCGCTGAGCCGAGCCGCAGTTGAAATTCTGCAACGTGCTTCAGCTGCAGTCGATTTTTCTCCGGCTTCCAGCATCATATTTCACCGGTTCTGACTGATCCCGGGCCTGTCCTCTCCCCCGCTCAGATTTCACCTACCATGCATCTGCGGCTCCTGTTTCTGACCCTCTGTTCGAAAGGAATCCCGCCCTTCCTTGCTGCCAGTTGTATTCTGGTTAAATTTCAGAATAAACCATTCACCACCCTCCAATTGTTTCATGAGGTATAACACAGGGCTTCTTCCTCTGAGCTTTGATCGACATCACCTCCCCACACCCCTTTGTCTGCTATACAGGTTTCTGTCGTCGTAACGACCATGCAAATCCCTCCGGGAGGAAGCTAGGCTGGCGAAGTTCGATGTGTGCGGAAGGCTGGATTGACTGCTTGCGTGGTCGATGAAGGCTGATGGCCAATAGGAGGGCAGGCATACTAGGGGAACCAATCAGGGATAATTGAGGGAAATCAGAAAAGCTGATGATTCAGACCTTCTACGGCTGGGGGAGTCATTCTGTCCGGCGTTGGCTTAGCATTGTGCCACGTCTGCAGCAAAAAGCCAGGGATTCGTGGTCACATCCGATTCGGCGTTTACCTCTGACCGATGCTCCTGTGCCGCTGGTTCAGGCCAGGCTGAAAGTGTCAGAGACACTCTGACTGTTTTATATGGGAGGCTTGGGTGTCGCCCCCGCCTGGATTATCTTAAAGTCCTCCTCAGACTGCTGATGTCCATGCAATGCCCTGGATCCCTTCCCTGACATTTGATTAATACGTGTCAGTGTCTCTCCAGTTCCAGGGCTATTTCCAGATTTAGTGGCTTTAAATGAAAACGGCAGCGGCTGTTCCTGTAATTAGCATTTAGGAAAGAGCAGGCGGAGCGTTTCGGCCGAAGGTACCAAAGCGTTAGAGCTGCATGCGACACCCCCTCCCCCACCCGGCTCCACTATGGAGGAAATGTTTCCCACCACAATGGGCCGAGTAAAGGGGGGGGGGGGGGGGGCACCTGCCTTCGGCATTTTGGGGGGAGGCTGCTTGCTTTGCTGCCCACTGGGTGCCTGTCCCTGAGCCGATGTGGCCCCCGTCGATTTTCAGGGGCATTCACACCACCTGCGTGTACTGTGTGGAGTATGCGCACCCCTTTTAATCTGCCTCCCCTCTCTCCCTCTCTGGGTTTCGCTGATAAACGGCGTTATCGCTTTGCGCTGCGATGGAACCACACACACCTGCATCTCAGAGGAGGGCGGCCGGCAGTGTAATATATACATGAGACACACACGCAGTGGGGAGCGGAGCTGGCAGTGACCGGCATATCCCAGGGCGGCAGATAACTGTTCGCCATATCAGACTGACGGCCGCCACCATTGGTCGCAGGTGGCTGTAAAATTCCTTCCCACCGCCCCCCCACCCCACTCCTTCCCACCGCCCCCCCACCCCACTCCTTCCCACCGTGCCAGGCCGCATGACCCAGTTTTTAACACAGAATGAAACAAAAACTATTCAAAATTCAAAGATCTGGCTGGAATCTGGAGTCTCTGCATGTGAGCGTGTTAGATCACTGCCCTCCTTTCCCTCCTGACTTAAAAACGCACGGTCATGGTCGTGCCCTGGGGTGTAACTGCTGGCCTGGTTCCTGTAATCTGCTGTTTCCTAGTCTCTCTATCTGCAAGTGGCCCGGGGTCATTTCTGTTCATCGCGGTGACGGCTGCAGAGCATCCGCACATCCGGCTGCGTAAATCGGTGACATTTGCTCAAGCGACCTCCGCTGAGCCGCCCGTCACGTTATCCTCGTCATTGCCGTTATTCTTGCGCAACGTTTATCACTCGGGGTCACAGTCCAGACAGAGGAGGAAGTGGAAGTAGAAGCAAACCCTTGTTTTCGTCAGGTCAGTCATCCCAGACTCGTGCAAACGATCGCTGACGGCACGCCACCAATCCGCCTCTCCACACACCGGTCGACCTGATTATCTGCAGTCTCATTAATGCCGTCTCATGCTTGATTTGGTTCAGGGGGAGATATTCACCAAGAAGTGCTTAGCTTTGGTTAAAAACAGATTTTCCATTTAGCTTTCATGCAGGTTGCGCGGTGAGTAGCGCTGTCGCATCACACCTCCCGGGGTTGGAGGTTCGAGTCCCGCCCCTACTCTGTGCGAACCCCACACACATATTCTCCCCGCGTCATGCACCTTTCTTCTAAATTGGTCTCATAGCCCAAAGACACACTAGGGTATGTTAGACAGTCAGGTGAATTAGTATCTGTAAAGGATGTGCTTGGCCTGCAGTGGACTGGCATCCCATCCCAATTGTTTCCCACCTTGTGCCCTGTGCTGCCTGGGATAAGCCCCAGGCCCCTCGGGACCCTGTACTGGGTAAGCAGTTAGAAGATTGACACATGGATCATTTACACAGATCTCTGTCTGCTCTGGGACCTCGGAGGTTTGCGTGTGGCTCAGTTATCGCCTGAATCGCTTGAATTCAATATCAAATGGCTATTTACCGTTTGTTTTTGTTTTCGCTTGTATGCTGCAGCGTTGTAGCCGCCCTGCTGTCCTGCCAGGTGCCCCCCCCCCCACGGGCCGCAGAGCTTTCTCTCTCCCCCCTGATCGCACGCCAGGGATCCGCTTTCATCGAAAGAGGGGAGATTTGGGAAGTAGTCGCACAGGGACGCTGCTGTTTCGCCCTGCCTTCTCCCGGCCCTTGCCACACTTCCTGCTAATTGTCCTGGTTACATAACGGGGGGTGGGCATTGTGTTCTTCCTAAGCCCACAGTCCACAGTCGCCTGCTCCCAGAGGAGCAGCCTTAGGCCCCGCGGTCAACTCTGCTGTGGGATTTGTCAGAAAACGGCCTGTGCAGAAAAGAGACAAAATGGGTGTTCATCTAGCTGGAGTCTTTGGGATGATGAAAGTGATCTTTACGATAACGAGCATTATGAGTCACGCAGGGCCTTTGTGCTGGGAGGGGTGGTATCGGGGGGGGGGGTGCAGGCATAATTAAAGCTTTGGGGAAAGTGCTGTTTCAGAGTTTGGAATGGGAACAAGGCTGTGGGTTCTGCTCTTTGACCTGGTGCCAAAACCTGCACCCCTCTCCAACCCTCCTTCATGGAAAAAGTGGTTATAAGGGCAATGGACAAGTCCATGTCCCGCGAGCTGCCCTGCACAGCGCTCCAGATGGTATATTCCACAAGGAGCCACCTCACCACGCAGACACGCCCAGCCTCTGACATGAACCTTCTGCTTACCTGCGGTCCTCTCTCTCTCTCTCCTCATCCTCCCTTGCACGCTGACCTACATTTCCCGTGACTTGTGTGTGCACGCTCCCACATGTACCAATGGCTGCAGATTCAGCAGCATCGTCGGCCTGTCACGGAATGTCACCGCGTCACCGTGCCTGCGGGTGTCGTGGCAACCAGGAGAGAAAGGTGACAGGCAAGAAACAACGTTCCTGCTTACAAGAATAAAGCTGGCAGGAACAGCGTGTGTGTGTGTGTGTGTATGTGAGTGTGTGTGAGAGAGAGAGAGAGAGTAGGGGCTGGGTGTGGCAGGGTTTTTTTTTTTTTTAAATAAACCCTTATCATGCTGGTGTTATGAATGTGACCCCCTTGTGTTCAGGAGAAAGGGGGAGCAGGGATTAATCAGATATAACTAGTCCTGCGGCACTGAGACTCTATATCTTACAATTATCTTTCATCTGCTGGTCTTATAAAATTGTCTACTATTTTGATTAAATAATTTTTATATGTATAATTATGTGCTGTACAGGTTAAACTTTTACAGCTTGGTCCTGGTGGATGTGTGTATATGCAACATTGTGATTTAAATTTAAACCTGCTTATTGTTTTTAGCTGAGGTGGAGTGATACATTCACACACCAGTATACACCAACACACACCAGAATGCACCAGTATACACCAGCACACACCTACATACAATGACCTGCCTTACAAGCCCCTGTGACTCTTTTATATAGCTGTAGACAGATGTCATTGCTAGTAGCCTAGTCAACAATGGGCCAATGAGGAAGTAGGGGGTCGCTGATGCATTGTGGGTTGGACACTGATCTGAGCATTTGTGCCAGAAACGGCTCACGGCCGGGCGGCTCACAGCTTTGTCTGTCTGCACTCGGCGATAATCAGGGCGTCGATACATCAGCAAAGCACTCAGACCCCCGGCGGAGACGATGTGTGTCAGTGTCCCGCGAGTGTGCCCACGCAGGGGGTGGGGAGGCCTTCCTCTGTGTGCTGAAAATGTGCAGATTCCTGCTGAACGCTATGGTTCTTTAAGCCGGATAAATACCGAAGGGAAAAAGAAAACTGTCTTGCTACTTCAAGAAATTCAGCAACTGTCTTGTTTTTATTTTCTTTTTTTTTTGTGTTTGAAATGCACCCGTTTGTCACAAGGACTGTTAGGCCCCTGTTTACAATTTAATGGGGTGTAAACATCACACAACCCTCCTGTTCTCTTTTTTTTTTTCCTTTCTTTTTCTCAAAACCTTCAGCAAGCGCACACACACATGGCCGTCAAATACAGAGTCAAAAGGTAAGTTACACTTCATCACAGTCGACAGGAGGGCAGACACCGTAGGATAAAAACACTTACAAAAAAAAGAATAAATTTAAAGTAACAAAAAAAATAATAATAAAATAAGCATTACAACATTGTCAACGGGAGATCTTTACATTTATACACAACAGCCTGAATTCCAGGCACCTCAAGAAGCGAAGCAGCTTTACACAGATACAAACCATACAATACAGTGTTTGCCTCACATTGTACAATAGGAAAGCTGTACAGGAAGGGGGCGCTGGCGAGCACGGTGGAGAAAGGGGAAGTAACCCTTAGAGAAGAGGCCTTAATTCAGTTATTGTCCACTCCTAGTGTCATTAGGATTTGTCAGTGGGAGTGAGCAGAGGTGCTGTGCTGGGTAGCAGAGGGTGTGTCCCACAACGCCGGGATGCGATTCTGGAGGGTGGGGGTCAGGGTGTAGCTTGGTGCTGGTAAGGAGATTTAGCTTAACTTTCTGCTCATTCTAGAGGTCTAGGGCAGCCCATTTGGGGAATGCATTTCAACACCCCCCCCCCCCTCACAGATTTTGCTATTTTGACACACTCCAATTTCTTTGCATGACGGCACAATGCAAATCTGCTTCCGTAGCCTAGATTTACCAAAGCATTTCCTCCTTATTCAGGGTAACTGGGGGTGGGGGGGTTAGATACACAGTAAATATATAGAGCGATGTTTCTCAAACCGGTCCTCAGAGACCCCTGGACGGTCCACATTTTTGCACCCTCCTTTCTTGCCAGCAAAAATGTGAACTGTCTGGCAGGGAGCTGGGAGGAAGCAGGAACATGGACTATCCATGGGTCCCCAAGGGCCGGATTGGGAAACACTGATCAGGGGAATAAAGACAGAGGCCCAAGACTGAGCTGGGATCAGTTTGGCCCGGTTACATGTTCCCATAACGGTTTGTGGGGAGCCTTTTCACATGGCACCTCATTCTTTCGTGTTTGTTTATTTATTTACCGCCTCTTACTCTATAACATTCAGCCAGACTTGCCCTGCATTGGGCTCCTTCTGCGTTTCCTCTCCCAGATCATGGCACAATTGAGGACAGCACAGAGCCCGCTTTCCACCAGGGCAAGCCTTGCTGAGTGTTAGTGTGTGCCAACAGCCCCATGGGATGATGGAAAGGGGGAAACACAACACGGTGATCTACTTTTTTTTTTTTTTTTTTTAAAAGAAACTTAAGAACTACAAAATACAATAAATAAACATCAATCATTGATGGGTTTTGCAGACAAAATAGGACTGTACAATCATTTTAATGACTAGACTGCTCAAATTCCCCTCTCCCCATTACTGTCGGTCCATTCTATTTTTTTTTTTTTTGGAGTATTTTTTTGTTTTCTTCTTAAAATATATATTCATTTAATATGCATATTTTATATCACAGTAATGTACATACCAAGTGCTTGAAAAATAAGAGAAAAATAAAGAGGAGTGAAAGAGGTTCAGAGATGGTGGAGCGAGACAGATCTCTCGGTCACGGTGTTGCTTCTTTGGTCAAGGTAGTGTTCCCAGAATGCATTGCATTTGGTTTTTGTGGTGGCCAACACATTGTATCCATGTCAAAACTACCATAAACAGGGCACTGATACTTCACAAAAACTTCTGGATTCTTTACAGAATCATTCTAAACAACATTTTTAACTTAAAAATGGCATTTTAATAATTTTTGACAATATTTTTTTTGACCGTCATCCTGACACAACTGCTAAAGTAGATTCCCCACCCGCTGCCATCTCTTTTAAGTGCTTGTGTTCTACAGGGAGAGAAAGGCCAAATTAGTCCTTACAGGATATGAGTCAGTGCAGCTAGAAGTTCAGCCCCAGTTAACGTAGTACATTTGGCTTCCTTCCTTCATCCTCTTTAGAGTAGAGTGGGTCGCTGACCCACTGGGATACAGGTATGCTGGTGGAGGATACTTTGGGGGAAGGGGGGCTGTCAAGGGTACTCCAGAAAACAGAACCAGTTGTAGTCAGCAACTTTATTTTGAGTCGCGTCAGTCGCGCCTCTCACAGTAAACCTTGAGATTCTGCAGTCCGAGTGACCCCTCCACGTTCCTCAGTCTCGCCTCTTGTTGCGGCAGGGCCGCCCGGCCGTCTCCTTTTTGCCGCAGTCCTTCCAGCCTTCCTCGGTTTCCAGGAAAGAGGACGTCTGCTTGTGTGATGCCACGGGCGTCCAGCTCTCAGCATGCTTGCCAGTTGCCTGGTGGCTGCTCGGGGCAAGGGCCAGGTAGGGGTGCTGAGGCAGCGGAGGGGCGGACGCTCCGTCGCACTGCGAGCCACTGCCGCTCATTGCCCGAAGCTTGAGCCGCAGCTTGTGAGGCAGGGCGGTGCCTCTGACCTCCGCCTGGGCTTCCGGGCTTTGGTTTGATGGCACAGTGCCCGGCGGCAGGAACGACGTCGCCTGCGACTCGGCAGGCGGCCGCTGCCGATAACTGGCCGCCTCCGAGCAGGAGGAGGAGGGACTCTCGTCATCAGTAGAAGTGTCTTTGTCTGAGCTACGGGGGTCCCCATCACTGGAAGAGGTGTCCTTTGTTGAAGCTGGACACTCCTGGAAGTATGCCTCGGGCCTGGAGCCTCCTTCATATGTCAGAACTGGAGGGTCCTCATCGTGAGGGCCATTGTAGGAGTGCTGGTGGTACAAGTGCGCTTGTGTCTCTTCACGGCTCGGGTGTAGGTCGGGGATGAGGGTGGCACCGTCCTGTTCTTGAAGAGGACGGGTGTGTCTGTAAGCATGTCCCTCTGTCCTCTCAGAGAATTCGTATGACAGGGACTCCAGAGTCGTGTTCTCCAGCTGCTCTGACCCTTCCACCAGGGTTTCTGGGTTCTTAGCACCAGGGGGGTCCATATGAGTCTGGGCCGAGTGGGTTGCAGAGAAGGTCTGTTGGTGAGGTGCTGGTGGAGGAGGTGGCGGTGCAGATGGTGACCTCTTCTCCGTGCAGTAGGGGGTGTTGCTAGAGCGATAGAGGATGACGCTCCTCTGGGGGACCGGTGGAGCAGCAGGGGGGCTGGCCACGGGTTCGCCATGGTGATGGTGCGAGTGGGTGTGCTGGTGATGAGCGGGGAGTCGGCTGGAGTGGATGCCGAACAAAATGTGGGCAGCACTGCCTCCAGGGCTGCCTGCTATGTCCACCTCCAGCCCGCCGATGTCCATGGCCGCATTCTCACGCTTGATCTCGCACCCCACAGGCTCTGGGCTGTCGCGGGATGAGCCGTCCGACATGTCGGACAGCGAGCCACGCGGGGAGTACTTAGCCAGGAGGGTGTGGCCCTCCCCCAGGCCGGATTGTTCGGCCTCAGAGGAGTCCGAGTTCATCAGAACCTGAGAACTGCTGGAGTAGGCACTGGAGAAGTAATGTCCGGAAGCAGCACCACCTCCAGCTCCAGCCAGACCGCCCCCGCTGGCTATCTGCTGGCTCTTCTCCATGTAGGAGGATGTGCTGATGAGGCCGAAGCGCAGTTTCAGCTGCAGAAGCTCCGTCTTCAGCCGTAAGTTCTCATCATTCAGCGCCATGACGCGGTTCTCCAGCACCATGTCGTTGAGCCGCCGCTTCTCCCGCGACCGCTTGGCCGCCTCGTTGTTCTTGCGGCGCTTCTCCCAGTATGAGGCATCCTTCTTCTCGTCAGAGATGAACTCGCGCTTGCGCCGGCAGCTACCATTGGGCTTGGGCTTAAGCAGGCGGCCTTGGCGCGGCACATTGCCCGGTGGTGATGGGAGGCTCTCACTGTAACTAGAGTACATGTCCAATCCCTCCAGGCCACTACTGTGACCGGAGCCAGAACCTGATGCTGGGACTTGGGAGGAGAGACTCTCCATGACACTTTAACTCTACACCTTCTGCTCCTACTAGTTCTTTGTTTTTGGGATATTCTAAGTGGTAGGATCAGATAAGACTTCTCGATGTGTTGGGGGTCTTCTTGGGATGAACCTCATTGATTTTGCTGATGTCAGGTGGTTCTTATTAAGAAAGTTACTCTCAGTTCCAAATTCAAGTGTCCAAATCAGCCAAAAATACAAGGAAGAGCTGGAGAGCCTCGCAAAGCTCCTCCTGCATTTAACAAGCGTCTGGGATCCTGGACAGCGAGAGGCAAAGCCTCGGTCCTGCTGAGAGGAAGTGGCACACCACCGTCTTCTCGGGGCCTGGGCGGCTTGAGCCACAGCAAGGAAGATCCTGTGGTCCGAGGACAGGGATTCGCTCTGACCTCCGATCTCACCCTCGCTTCGCCGTGTAACGGGCTGCCCGCGGGACGTAGGTCACTCCGTCTGCTGCCGCTTGTCACTCTCAGGAGGACACCATCTCCCCCTCCGATCTCCTGTGGCAACCGGCGACTGGCAAAACAAGTACAAACACGTTAATTGCCGAATAGCTGGGGATATAGAATACATTGTAAATATGAAATATATGAAATGAGTTTAAAAATATATTCATATCATAAATCATACCGATGCCATTATAATTCACTTTTTTCAAAACATGTATAAGGACTTGTTACTGTTTCAAATACCCCTAGTTTTCCCAGTTGTGACCGTGTGTTTGAAGGGTCTCTCCTAGCAACCAGGGAACCGGTCTGTCAGCCCTAGCAACCGCTGTGTACTCAGTGAACCAGTGTACTCAGTCTGTGACTTGTGACCTCTGACCAATGGCTGGTCTACTTGTCTAGTCTTCATGATGCAACATCTCTGAAAAGGCACTCGAATAGTCAGACATGATCTAGAGCCCCCCCCTCCCCCCCAACACTTGGCATTCAATTCCGATTTAAGTATTATTTCATCATAATGGACAGAACACTCGCGCCTGCTGGCATGCAAGAGATTAACACTGGTCTGTTATTTTTCCTTCCTCCCAGCATGACACACACGGGCCAGCAGACATGCCCCGGAGCTGTGCTAGGATAATTAATTCCCCAGAGCAGCGATGAGCGGCGTTTTAGTGACAGGGGTGCAGAAATAACCCCAAACAAGCCTTTCCAAACACAGCCGCCCCTATTGAGGGAGATGGTGCGAGCCAGCTGGGGTAAATAGGGATTGGCAGCATTAACTGAGCAATAAATTAAAATGTGGAAAAAAATACCATAGAAAACAAGAACAGAAAATCCAGATTTTATGAGTCTGTAAAATTATTGGAGATGACATGCGTATGTGTTTGGAAGCCCATCAAGAAACGAGTGATGGCGAGTGGATTCACAAAAAAAAGATAACAGGAAGGTGAAACTCAACAGTGATGTGGCAGTGTGGAAGAATATAGGTCAGCCACTGAGGGTTGCACTCCGGGGGGAAGGGGGGGGTGCTGGTTAATTTATCTGGGCCGCTTGTGTAAGATGCCAAACTGCTCATGTAACTGAGGATGTTGAGCTGTCTGGGTGGAGGGCCGGGGTTAGGTACAGCATCATCAAGACCAAACTCTGAGCTTTTTTAGGGGGCTTCTGCTTCTGGGCCTTCACTTCTAAATCATGGCGACAGGAAACAACAACATTGGAGCTCAGGGCTGGATTTTTTTTAGCACTTTTTATGGATTTCTGGCACATTGAGGCTGCAGCTGGAGAAGGCCGATCGTGCTGGTGGCTGACACGCACGCGGCGCCCCGCCACACTGCAGCAGGAGAAGGCCGATCGTGCTGGTGGCTGACACGCACGCGGCGCCCCGCCACACTGCAGCTGGAGAAGGCCGATCGTGCTGGTGGCTGACACGCACGCGGCGCCCCGCCACACTGCAGCTGGAGAAGGCCGATCGTGCTGGTGGCTGACACGCACGCGGCGCTCCGCCACACTGCAGCTAATCCTCACGACCTTTGTTCGTATCTTCCTTTCTGTTTTTTTTCTTCCTTCTCTCAAACACATTAAGAAGTACAGCTATTCCGGCCGGCCGAGGACATAAACAGGACGACGTCGGCTTGCCCCGCCATATTAAATCAGCTCTCCTCAGCTTGTCTCCTTCCTCCTCTCCTTGCTCTCCTTCCATGCCATGCGTGCCTTCCTCTTGCTTCTGTCAGTGCAGTGTAATGTCACTGCCTGTACTCCTGACATGCATTCCGAATCCTGCAATCTCATAGCAAACTGTTTGAAATTTTAAAGCATATTGTTCTAACTTCTAATACCAAATTATCATATTATCCCCAGTCTGACTGATCCTGCTATCCATCACCCGGTTTTGTAATGTCTTAACTTTGGCATTCAGGTGATTTGAAGCTGAGTACTATGACTATATGCAAAACAAGGCAGCTGCCCCAAGCCCCCCCCCCCCTCCCCTCCAAACCCCCTGGAGCTGGCACTGGGTGTGGTGAGGTGGTGAGGGTCAATGAGTCCACAGTACACATAAAAATGACAAAAAACGAACATAAACAGCAGACGTGATGAAAGGCACATGGAAGAGGAGAGGAGGGAGACCTTCTCCTGCTATGTCCCACTGACCCAGAAACGGGCCCTGCAGTAAACACGGCGCTCTGCCGCTACCGCTATGCCGCGCTGGAAAAATAGGTCACCGGGCCTCACAAGTGCAAGGGAGAGAGGGAGAATTAGAGCACGCTCTAAAAATAGAGGGAGAACGAGGGGAAGGAGGGCGCTGCGAGGCGGAGGAGGGTGTCGGTCGGAGGGGGCAGACGGGAGGAATTTTACCAGCACGGCGGCGCACAAAAAACCCAGCCGTCGCTGCCAGATTGCACGCGCCGCTTCCACGTCAGCCCGCACGGCGCGGAGTCGCCGATTAGCGGCCACGCGGATGTCGCCGGATCGCGAGCGGACGGATCAGCTGCTGAAAGGGGACGCGTGACAAAACTGTTCTTTCGTGCTTAATTGTGAATTATAGGTGTATCTGCCCACTACTCAAAAACAAGCTGACATCATTCGATTAATGTTGCCTGCATCTTGTACTTTTTCTTGCTGATAAACTTAACTGTAATTTTGATACTGTAATACCAAATATGTGACAACTTCCGATCTGAACAATCATTACCGTAATACTTCATACACCTTGAATTCTTCCTGTATACGTTGGCCATGCAGGAACCCTAGCGATTTTAACTTTCTCAAGTATCCTGTATGTGAGTCTTTCTCAATTACGTAACCATCAGAACCTTATTCTCGGTTTTGTTACGCGTTCTACTAAAATGGCATTTAAACTGTGACTTTTTCAGTGAGCTGCACTGTGGCTTCTCTATAAATCCCAGGTGTCAGAGGTTCTAGTTTGGAAGCATAATGCTTAATCGTGGCAAATGAGACATACCGAGGTCCCCCCACCATCTTTCAAGAGAGAGGGCGAGACCGGGGACACAGGCAATCATAAACTGTGTATACAGCGGGGTATTGACCCTCCCACCTACTCTCGACACGAGTGTCTCTGCTCACGTGCGACCAAGAAAACAGAAGGTGCTGCCATTGGCTACCACCTGTTATCCTAGATGGCAACATTCTACCGGGTAACCTGTGAGAGGTGGACGGTGAGTGTTGTGATACTCGAGTCTGAGGAAATGCCGTGTTAGCCTTTTTTGTTGCGCTCTAATGAGAGTAAGTGCTGAGACGAGAAAGTGTTTTACGGGATTTTTGTCACGCTGGTAGTAGTTTGATTTTCAATTGCACAATTTCAGTGACATCTCAACGGGGGGGATCTCAAGACTACTTAACGCAAAAAAAAAAAATACTTGCCCAAAAAAAAAATATTGGAGAAGTGGAATAAATGATGTATATTCCGTTTAACGTATGTGTAAATCTTGGCTATTGATGGGGGAAAAAATAAAATGCCATTAGACGGGAAATTGCACAATTTTTGCAATGCTCAGTATAATTTAGATGAATATAATATATGCGTTGGCTGTATTTAGCCGAGGTAGTACGACGCGTCCCACAGTCTGAATGCTGCTATGACTAATAGCGTGACCGACATCTGAGCGCTGCACAACGATCTGAGGTTATCGCGTACGCGCTGCCAGATCCCGTCCACCAGACGCTTACATATACTGGGTTTTCCACTAGTTGCATCATCCGTCGCTCCAGCCCGTTTCATTAATTATTTCACTTATTATGCAACTCTGCTTACTGAAAATGCTTACAGGAAGCCCCGACTTAATTCCTAAGAGACGTTAAGTTAGTAAGACTGCCATTCGCGGTCCACCTATATATTATTCTCTGACGTCTCCACACTTTGTCATGCGTTAACTTGCCTAAAGACCATTTTAAGCAACGTGGCTTTTTGCAGTGGGTCAATGTCCACGATTAGATCTGTAATTTGTTTGCGCACATTAGTGTCCATTCGCACCTTTCATCAGCACCTATGCATGCACGGATTTTCAATTGTAAGTTACATTAAACTCACGTCAAGCACTCCGCAGTAATATACGAAGAAAATAATTAGTAAATCGTGTCCTTAATTTGGGTTAACATCCCAAATGAAAAATTCAAATGCTGGATGGAGTCAATTCCCACCCCGTCCTACTCCAACAGCTCACATGATGAACCTCAAGCACGCCTTTAAATTGTATATGTTTTTCTTAAACATAATTTTCTTAAACCTTAATCAATCGTAGATGTTTCTCTGTTTGTGGTTTGTGGTAAGTCTAGTAATTGTAGTCACTTCTCCATACTTTTAACCGGCATTCTAGCATCAGTCAGATATAGGTAGAGTCTGTCTACGTTTGAAAGCAATCACTTCATGTCTTTTAAACAAAGACCGTTTGAACGGGTTTCCACCAACTGTTACAGCAAACCCCTGTGAATTTCTAAAATGAACAAATATATTTTCAACGTCATAGGCTGCAAAATGTAGGCTAGTTTTGAGTAATAATTGTACTGCTGTACTTGTTTATATTTCCAGATGTCATTTTTACATCCAACATCTCAATCGAATTATTTCCCAGAGTAGGGGGTGGGGGGTTTCTTCATCCAAAAATAGCATACAACTGTGCGTATCGGTCAACTCGCTTATACGAGAAACTGTATGCTCCCGTATCCATGACCATGTCTCTTAGAGGGTTTGTAAATAGTAAAATACTGTACCCACTAGTGGTTATCTAAAGTGAATTTCATGTTGTGATACATATTACCAGGAAAGGGTTAACGGGGTTGAGTACACAACATACCACCCTCGTTAACCTCTGCAAAGAGCCACTACACGTGACAGCGAGAAGTGTGTTCCCAGTGTTCGCATGGAATTTTTTCCAGTTGTCCTCGTGGACTCTTAACCCGATTAAAATGAACGCCAGTGTGGAGTAAAATAGCTGCTTACTGACCCTAAAACATGCGTATTTCATTGCCATGCTATGGGATAATGGTGCATTTAGTCTATATTTTACATTTTTATACATAACCGTTTCGCCGTTGATTAGGTACTTAATGTGAAAATAGCTTGTCAATTCACCTCTGAAGGCAGTGTGGAAAATGTAAAGCAATTTAAACATCAAAGCCCATAAAATGTATTTTAAATAGTACTTGCTGAAGCATCCGGGGACATATTGTGTCAGAATACAAGCCCTGTGTTGCCTTCGCTGATTCAACTGCTCCTTTTGTTTTGAACCTTCCCAACATCTGTAGTTTCTACAGGAATTTCTGTCTCCTCGCATTACCCTTGTCCTTCCTAGTCTACCCTCCCCCTATAAAATCCACCATTTAAACACTGCGAAAAAAACGCCCTGACATTGAGATTATGTGTACGGTACCGGAGTTTCCAACATTGAGCACCACCCCGACTGGACTACAACAATCAGACCCTAGATTAAATAAAACATTTTGATTAAAAAAATGCGAAAACAAGCACATAAAGGAATCCTGGTATTTATTTTTAAAATGTACTTTGTAGTTATAGTGTGTCCTAAGGTTAACTAAAATGACCGGCTATTGCATGAATAATCGGTCCCCTTTGACGGGAGAGCCTAAACGCATTCCCGCAGCCTTGAATAAGTCACATAGATGCGGGTCTGTTATACACTCATTTTTGCAGATGCAGCGCCCCGTGTCAGAATAAAGCATGAAACTTACCTTTGTGCAGTATTAAAAATCCACAGTGTGTAGCACCGCGCCACTGCTCAGTTATTCTTTGCGCTCCCTCTCTCTCCAGTTTGAATTGAAATGTACGGTGCGCTCGTAGCTGCTAGTACAAGCGATATGATTCGCGTTTCGGTGCCGCTACGGATTCCGTGTCTTCTGTTTTGCTTTGGATAATCATGTTATGTTGGTGACGTGCTCCAATTCTCCCTCTCTTGATTTCTGTCTGAAAATGTATGTTAGTAGGTCAGTAGTTGCATAACAGGACGCTTTAGGTGCCTAGTCACGTTTTGTTTCGCTCTCTCTCGCTCGCTCGCTCGCTCGCGGATCCTCCTCGCCCCCCCCCCATTCCCCCCTCCTTCACACACGTTTTTTTCTTGGGCTCTAGTTTCAACGTGATGCAAAGGGATGGGAGGGACTCGGCTTTCTGCCAGGCTAGCTCAGATGTAGGCCAGAGATGCCCATAATAAGGTTTCTAAACAAAATGAGAGAGAGAGAGAGACTAGAAGCCTGAAAAATAGAATACGAGGAGACATTTTTAGAAACAGGCCCCCAGCACGTGATATAAAAAGCGCCGATTTTACGCGACAGTCCGCGTTTGGGGAAAATACATTTAGACCATGAAGGTCATACATGTAATCAGATTTTAAATAATTAATCTTATTATAAATTAGGTGGAATATGGTGTCTCACTAGGTAGCAGTGTCACCCCCGCAGCACTAGGGTTGTGTTCGTGTGGAATTGGCATACTGTACTCCCCCATGTCTCCTGGCTTTACTCCTGCAGTCCATAGACATGCAGTTAAGGGAGACGGGCTTCTGTAAATTGCCCATTGTCTATGGCTGTGAGCGTGTGCCCTGCCAGGACTGGCATCCACTCCGGAGTGCACCCTTATCTTGTCACCCTCGCTGCCTGGGACAGATTTTTTCTTGAATATTTAGCATCGCTTTATTTTTATACCATTTGTATTTAGGAAATGTTACGTCCTTCTGTCATTCTTTAACTTTCTCGTGTCACCGTGTGTGTCTGTCTGTTCTTTACCGTTCAGAGGGTGTCCATGCCTGGAAAACGGGTCTCAACACTGAAATGCCCTGAAGCTGCACGTGCCATTCTGTATTTAATAGTACGTTTCTCTGTGTTTATATCTTATAGCAATACATGCTCATTTGTATTTTGACAAAATCTCTTTCTTGTGCCCTGCAAAAATTATGCATTTAATTTTTTCCCAATTCGATTTAATTCCATCGTAATTCCACCTTTTACAAGAGTACGTTAAAGCAAAATCCACGCGCTAGACCTGAACGTTAAAAGCATACGACAATGTGGTGTAACATTTACAATACAACCAGGTAAAGGCAGGGGTTGTAGATAGCAAAACATAATGCATAAAGGAGAGGTGATCCAGAATGCACTATAACATATTCATATCTTTTGTTATTAGTAGAACAGTATTTCAATCATGACAAAACAAAAGGACAAAAACTATATGAGTGGTTGGTTTAAGGTAGATGGCACAGGAATTCAGTTACTGGGGGAGGTGAAATGTAGTTATAAAGTAAACATGTGGAAGTCAGTCTGCTAAGTTTCTAAAGACACTTGTGGGCCTGACTGACTATGGCATTAGCTTGGGATGTATCTTAAAAAATCTGTTATCTTCCATACATCAAACTATGCAAATGTTAGAATGGGAAGGACCTCCTTTAACACTATACCGTGAGCTATTTCATCTGCGATGGTCTTTTGAAGTCGTTTCTCGTTTCACCCTGTAATCCAGCAATAATTACCTGGTAGTTGTCGTGGTTTTATAAAACTCACTGTCTACTATTTTACTTGGCTTTTCCTTAAAAGGGCGTCCTACTTTTTAAATTTATGAACAATGGGTGGCCGAACCTAAAATCCCTCGGGAAGTGATTAAGATTTCATTTGTTCAGTCAGCGTTTGAAAGCATTACGACCTCAAGTTCGGGGGAAGTAGCGATCGCGATGAGAAGTGAAAAAATCAACACACCCTTACTGAAAAATATAATATGTGCTATAGAGCTGAAACTCGTCCCTACATTTAACACCCATTTTTCATTTCCGCTTGCCTGTCGTTGCCTTGGCTTGTCTGTCCGCCCCAGTGTTTTCTTAGAAAAAGATCGTTGTCGGATTAAAAGCGTCTCAGTGGGTGCAGCGTCGGCAGGTTAGGAAGCTGACATTTGCATTAGTGGCGGTCTCACAGTATGAGTCCAGGCTTCGCTGCATGCCTCTTGTCTGGTATTTGTACATTATTTCTTAACGTCTGAGTCTTTGCGTGTGTCTGTCACGTTTTTTTTTGTCTTTGATATGGTGCTAGCCCCGTCTTACGTCATTCTATTATGTGCTCTGCTGAGGTAGTTCCAGATTGACGTGGAAAACACAAGTACGATAAGAATACTGGATAAAGCTTTGTCATGTCAACGGGGCCAACTTCCCCCTCCTAACGGGCATCAGCAGAATGACTGGAAGTCCTGTTTTTGTCGCCGTCCATTGTCATTAGCTCTGTGGTCATTGCCCTTGCACCATGGGGTTGGAAAAAGCAGATAATGGGCTTTGATTGATAGACCTATGCCACGTGTTAGCCAGGCGTGTGTTGGCACTGCCGACCCGCCCTCATTCGCTTCGTCTGTGTTTTCAAGCGCTGCATATAATCGAGAATAGCTTTACTAATTAGGCTTATTTCTCATCTGTAATCGAGCTTACTTCAGCACAAACACGTTATATTCTATATGAACTTTTATATTTAGTTCTTTTTCATACAAGAGGTCTCCGCTGTATATGTGCTGGAATATTTCCACAATAAGTAAGAGATGAACGGAGATCCCAGAATCACGCCGTTACTGCAATTGCGTTCCTACCACCCCCCGCCCTTTGTTCTCTGTCCGACAGGGCACAGGCGGAGGTGAAACCGTGGCTTTGAACTTAAAAAAAATCCCCCATCCTCTCCGCCCACTCCCCCCTCCCATCTTTCCCCCTCCCTGCTTCCTCCCACCCATCCCGGGCTGCAAGGGTTTCCATGGCAACCGTCGCACCAACTGCCTAGCAACAGGCTTTCTCTCCCGGTGAAAAAAATTGGGTGGGGGGGCACAATGATACGTGACAGGGAAGGTGTGTGTTGGGTGGGGGTGAGGAGCGCTGTGGGGGGCACTGTAGCGCTTTCTCTCTATGGGACCCCTGGAAGGAGTGTCTTTCCTATCTGCCGACATGATGAGAAAAGAGTCAATATAGACAGAACCGAGACAGCCGCTGGACTGATGTGCAGACATCTGTTTTCCATTTCCCGCTGAATTTAAACTCCTGAGTAATCAGGTATTTTGCTGGATTGACACATTTGAACACCCAGCTCTCTATTAGAAAATAGGAAACCTGTTTTGAGAGATACGCAGGTAAGGCTAATGAATTATTCAGAGAGACCCCCACTCCAGTTTTAAGTGATGTGCAAGCCTGACATTCGAAAGGCCCAAATGCTGCCGGAGTGTCACAACATATTTGGGCAGCCAGAACAGAATTTTAAACCGCTAAATAAATGTGAGACCGTGCTGTCCTCTAGAGGTTTCAAACGGCAATAACATGAATGCGATCCTTATGCTTCCAATAATTACTGAACAAAAGGAGGGTCACAGCAAGCCTTCAGTATGTGCGGGGAAGTACTGGGTACACCCAGAACAGGATGCCAGTCTGCCACAGGAATCATGCCCACTAAAATAAGCAGTGCACCTAAACCACAAGTTTTTAGATTGCGGCAGGAAGCTAGAGAACCCAGAGGAAAACCACACACATGAAAACTTTGCAAACGCAGAGTTGGGGCTGGATTCAAATCCACAACCCTGTAGACGAGAAGCCAGAGTACAATCCACCAAGTCACCACACTGCCATTTCTGACATGAAGATCGAAGTAATGCCTTTACATCCTTGACGTAAGAAGCGTTCCTGCTCTCCGCATGGAAAACATCTTGTTCGCTTTGTGGCTTAATGTTGAAAAAAAAAATCCTTAATGGAAAAAACGCATTTCTCTGTGGTTGTTTTCTCTAGGAACAGTGGTCTTGTGGAGGCCACTAAGCTTAGTAGCTTTTCATTTACGTTCCTTTGGGGGTTTTAATCGTGGTTATCATTCATATTATATCTTGCAGTTTTCTATGGCTGCTCAAGTTTCTTCCTGCAGTCTATGGAGTGTATAGAAGTGGTGTCTCTGAAATGCTCATAGTCTTTAATTGTATGTGTGAGTATGTATGTTCTCTTTGACGGCGTCCTCTTTAGGGCCCTTCTCTGCCTTATTCCTTATGCTGCCGGGGTTAGGAAAAGCCATTGGAATAGGGCTAGATGAATGGTTGGATGGATTTTACTTTTGTGTGATGCTCATCTTTCATCATTTTGCTTATATCTTAAGGAAAGGAGATCAAGTTCTTACATGAAATCTTCCATCCTTAGAATAGGCCATTTTCGCCTCCCCATTCTCATTCTCTCTGCTCCCATCGCTCATCATTCCTCTATCTTACTGTCTCACTCCTGCACACCAGCAATTCTGTATAATATAAGAAAAGTGCAACATTCAGTGTTAGCTGGCCAGGACAGAAATCAATAGCACACTTTGTGATTTTAGAATAGCTAGGCTATATTTACCAGTCACTCACCAGCAGCGTACCGTACCATTCAGCGATTCCATTGAAAATGTGCCTCAGTCAATTACGACCTCGCTGCCACGTCTGAGCTACATAATGGAGTGTATGGCAGGAATAATTACATCTTGGGTTGTGCTGGCACCGGTTTTACCTGTCCCTTGTGAGAGCGACCGAGTGGCTAAGTGGGGCATGCTGTTACCACATGCCCCACAGGACTGTGAGTCCTCCCCCGACTGCCCGTGTGTTCGATCTATAGCTGCTTACGTGTCCCGATCTGGATCAGCTCTAGGTCACTGTGATCCTACTTTGCTAAATAGGTGCTGATTGCACCAGTGGCAGCTGGTCCATAATGGTAGAGGTAGCCTTGGAGCCCAGGAACCCAGGAATGAGGTCCCTACGTGGACCTACTGAGAGTTAGGATGAACAACAGGTAAACAGTCACCAGACAGAGGGGCACATATATACACTGAGTACAGACAGGTGAATTAATGAATGAATGAATGTTACATTCGTATATAGCGCTTTTGACGATGCCCAAAGCGCTTTACAGAACCAATGGGGAGCCACTTCAATCACCACCACTGTGTGGCCCCGACCTGCATGAGGCAACGGCAGCCATTCTGTGCCAGTACGCTCACCACATAGATAAGGTGGCGAAGGGGCAGGACAGAACTGCTACGTAGCTTGCTCTC